ATATAAATTCATGCTGTGGACTCAGCCAAGTAAAGCCCTCACCGACCAGATTCGAACAATCTCTTCAGGCCTCATATGCTAGATACACAAACATACTCCCTCCAAGTCCCTGAAGAAAGTTCCATTTTTGACTTTTTGAGGATTTAAAGGAGGGATATTTTGGTGTTGACTTTCTAAAAATACCCTTGATGTGATGTGTTAAAGTAAGATGTGATAGGTAGATTATTAGTAAAAAGGTATGATGTGATAGGTAGGGTATGAAAAAGTAAGGGGTAAAGGGGTTTTTTAAGGGAAAAGAGAAGTTTATTTGGGAACAAAGAAAAAACGAAAGAAGAACTTTATTTAGGGACAGAAGAAGTATTAATTAACAAAAACATGTTATCACCCACTATATTGAATTGGGCCCTAAATCACGCCCGCCCTTAACTTCCACAAGCAAAAACTTTTTGCAGGATTCGATTAACAAAGACGGCTAACAGCAGGATGTTGGCGGAAAATCTTGGGCACATGTATATGTCATTCACGAATCATCAATTACATAAGACTCTATGATGCAGTGTTCATTACGGTAAAGAAGGAAATGGATCAGTTGATTGCTAGCGGGCCGGCACTAAGAGGAGACTGACCAAACCCTCCGGGCCTAGAAGCCCGAACATAGAGAAGACTGCCAGCTACAGCGGTGGCGATCACAGGCGGGGACGACCAGGATGAAGGAAGGAGGCATCTAGGGAGAGAATGTGACGATCTCAATGAAGGTAAGGAAGAGAACTGGCAGTACTTGGGGTGTCGTTTTGTAATGGATGGCAACACAGGTGGAGATTCTATATCTGCCATGAAGAAGTGAAAAAATATGGTGCACTTGGCGAACACAATCATGGAGGATATCAAACAGGAACACAATCATGGAGGATGATCTATCGCTGGTGGAAGAGGAAGGTGAATCCTCATCGTACGAATGTCTTTTTGTCTTTGAACAACTAGGAGATCCCAAACTGAAGAAGCGTCGAGTCTCTGCATTCGGCCAATTGGATGATGGACGATCATCACGAAGGGGGGGACCTTAGTGTGAAGATCGAGGAGCGGCAGGGGGAATCCTCGGCGACTTCCCGAGCCCAATTGCAAAAGAAGAAGAAGAAGATGACTACCTCCGACATGGAGGTGGATGACCTATGGAAGACAATGGTGGAGCTGAAGAAAAGGGTGGACGCTAAAAATCCCTACTGCCAGGTAGTCCTGGATGAGGCACCCCCTTGTCACAAAGAGTAATGTCGTGCCCCCTCCCTGAAAATTTCAAAACTCCACAAGTAAAGGGGTTTAATGGGATGGCTGATCCCCAGGCTCACTTGCCTTGTTTCCGGGCTAATGTGGTCATGTTGCCTGCCCCAAAGAAATAAACTATCGTTTCCTTTTGGCCACCCTCGAGGGCCAGATATGTGAGTGGTTTTACAAGTTACCAGAAGGATCTATTGACTAGTGGAAGGACCTGACAAATAAATTCCTTGAGCTTTTTGCGGTGAATCATTTCCTCAAGAAACGAACGTATTCCCATCTGTTAAATGTTAAAATCCGAAAGGGGGAGAGGCTCCAGATTTTATATCTCGTTAGGAGGAGGCAGAGACGTCCGAGGGGTGGACGACCAGGCTCTCATTTCTATGCTCCAAGCGGCACTCCCTAGGGGGATGTGCGCAAGGAGTTATTAAGGAATCCACTCCCAGCTTACTAAGAAATGCTTGAAAGCGCCAAGTATATGGCATTATAGGAAAATGACCAAGAAATGTTAGGAGAGTCTTAGAAGAACAAGAAGGCCACATCAGCAAATGGGGAATCAATAGAGAAGAAGAGAAAGGACTACATAAGTGGTTTAAATATGAGTGGATATCAAACGGGTAGACCACCCGTCCACACCATCCTTTCCCTTCATCCTCTCCTGAGAGCTACGGTGTCCAAAATATGCCCAAATACTCCAAGTATCATCGTAATAGCACCCACAATAAGGCGTTGTTCATTACGGTAAAGAAGGAAATGGATCAGTTGATTGCTAGCGGGCCGGCACCAAGAGGAGACTGACCAAACCCTCCGGGCCTAGAAGCCCGAACATAGAGAAGACTGCCAGCTACAGCGGTGGCGATCACAGGCGAGGACGACCAGGATGAAGGAAGGAGGCATCTAGGGAGAGAATGTGACGATCTCAATGAAGGTAAGGAAGAGAACTGGCAGTACTTGGGGTGTCGTTTTGTAATGGATGGCAACACAGGGGGAGATTCTATATCCGCCATGAAGAAGTGGAAAAATATGGTGCACTTGGCGAAGGTCCAAAGACATTCCCTTTCAAAGAAGTAGAAAATAGAACCAATCTTGTTTACTGACGAGGATTACCCTCCGGTGCCCAGCCCTCACAGAGATGCCCTTGTGATATGGGTGGAGATCAACAAAGTAGTGGTTTACCAAACTCTAGTAAACAGAGAGTATTTAGTAAACATAATGTACATCAACACGTTCAAAGAATTGGGGCTATCCCGGGTAGATCATAAGACAATCCAAACCCCATTGTCTGGGTTCACCAGGGATACTATAGAAGGGGAGCGGACGATCACGATCGGGGCTGAAGTCAGAGACCGAAACCATTGGGTTTGGCTTGATATGGAATTCATGGTGGTGCACTTCGACTGTGCACACCAACTAATCCTTAGACAACCAAGCATAAAGGACCTGGAGTGCATAATCTCCCTGACCCATTTGTGCATGAAATTCCTGACACCCACAGGAGTGGGCATGACAAGGGGAAACCAGAGTTGGGTAAGGCTGTGATATGTCAGGGCGACCAAGAAGCACGTTCGGGTAGATGAGAATGTTAGCACCATCTGCGCAGCAATCCAAAAGGAGAAGGGTCGGCTTAGAGCAGAACAAGCGGAGGAGATAGAAGAAATAGTGTTGGATCCTGCGAGGCCAAATCAAAAGATGAAAATAGGAAGAGCATTGTGTCAGGAGTTGAGGGAGCATCTGGTCGGCACTCTAAGGGCATTCAAGGTTTTGTTTGCTTGGGGATCGGAGGATATATCCAGGGTGAATCCACGGGTCATTTGTCACAATTTAGGTGTCGACCTGGACCACAAGCTAGTAAAGCAGAAAAAGTGTTTATTATCTTTAGAGAGAATAGATTTTGTTGTCAAACAGGTGAACACCCTAAAGTCCATTGGACACATACGGAAAATGATATACCCCGAATTATTTTTAGACCAATGTGTAAATGAAATAAATTTATAAATACATAAAATTTTGCATTTTCTTTAGATATGATATTTCATTTTGGGACTTATGGAGTAAGTAATATATGTCGATCTATAACTAGTTCAAATGATAAAATAAAAGTAAATATTTGAAAACACGTGCATGTAATTATTCACTAATGCACATAAACATAATATGTTTATTGTGAACTTCTCTCATGACTTGAGTGGTAGTCAGCCCACTCCATTCTAACATTAACTAAACATTAAAAGTATATGCCCGAACTATTTAGGTTTTCACTTTTCAGAAGGTAAATAAGAAAAAAGGAAAGAAAAACCCTAAAGTGATGCAAACAAGGTCAAGATTGTCATATAGTGCCAGTTTGGGTCTCTTTGCCTCTATTACATATCCATGTTCATTATAAGAGGGCATTATTGATTATAGCACGGAGGCTAGGGGAACCTCTCTAAAAGTGGATGAAAATGCACTTAATTTCTCGAGGTCATATTTAGCAAGGGTGGTATGTGTTGGATTGGATTTATCAGTGGCCTTACCTTCTAATTAGCTCTATATACTTGTTGATGAAGAAGAATTGCTTATTCCTGTAATAGGAAGGATGGATATTAGAGACAAAATTACAGAAGATAAGGGTCAGAGGAACCCGCAGAAAAACATCAAAGCATGAAGAAAGAGCTTTGGAACAGAATATAAAGGGTAAGAGGAAAGAGGTCACTACTCACATGTTTTCCATTCACTGAACAACAAATGTTGGGTTTTCTGGGATGATTCCTCTTACTAGGTGCTTCTGGTTCAATTTGCAACTCAAGTTGTCATTTGTCTCTTTAGTGATAGAGTCTCCAATAAAGAAGTCTTTATATCCTCTGTTTATGTATAAGTAGCTTTCCTAGCACAAGTAGAAAAATCAATTAAACAATAGTAACTGACTAATAAACAAGCACCAAAATGATGACCTCTTATTGAATGTTTTGATGGCCGGGGCCTAAATTGGACATTATTTTCAATTAACGAGTAACATCTCGTTAATTAGTTCAATTTGGAGAATAATTTGGTAAAACACATACTTATTGAGTACCATTTTTGAAAATTTACTCTTGAGAATAATGCTCAAAATAGCTTCAAAACGACGCTAAAACTTATACTAGTTTTCCAAAATAGTCCTCTATAGTTGGTTGTTTCATCCAAATTAGTCCATGTTTTAAATAAAAATTCATCAAAAATGGTATCTCGACTTCGGTCAAACATTGTTAACCAATTAGAAGGGAAGATTGATGCTTTTGTTATCCATATGTAATGAATTTTAATTTAAAAAATGGATCAATTTGAGAAAACACCCAATTAGAAAAGACCATTTTGAGAAAATAGTATAAGTTCTAATGTCGTTTTGACATTGTTTTGACGGTCGTTAGTCGGGAACTAAACTGAACATTATTCTCAATTAACGAATACCAATTTAATAATTATTTCATCTTCAGGACTAATTTAAAAAATATAGTTATTGAGTAATATTTTAAAAATTTACTCTTATTATTACTCCGTATTATCTAACAAATCTACTTTGTTTTATCCAGCCAAACGGTTCAAAATTCTTTCACGTAATTATTTTAGTATCTATCTTGACTTTACATGATTAACACTATTTAAAAAAAAACCATTAAAGGTTGTCAGATGTACATACACAATGCAACGATGATAGTTATTTGATGTGTCACATGCATCTTGGTGAAGTTTTTTTGTCCCGGTGGCCTTATCCATTTTTTTTAGTGATGTTACATGAAAAGAGCTTGAAACAAAAGAGTTAAACTCCATACGGTCAGACACCCGAACCATATATATACACGCCCCCTCTATTCCTAATGTGACTTCTTTTTTGAAACATTCCAAAATACCCACTACTAGTTAGGTTGTCTTGTGTATTTTTCCAGTTAAATTATTTAATTTAATAGGTGGGGTTCCCATGACATTGTGTTCCAATGTCATGGGATGATTCGAGGGCGCTCCGGTGCTCCGTTCGTAAAATTGACGGTTCCTACCCCCTTAACCCCCTGGTAAACCCCCCACCCCGCCCCGACCCGAACACACACCCCTACCCACGTCAATTGCACCCCACAAGTTGATTTTGACTTTTAAGTTAAATTTTGACTCCAAAGTCAAAATCAACTTGTGGGGTGCAATTGACGAGGGTAGGGGGTGTGTTCGGGTCGGTGCGGGGTGGGGGGTGGGGTTACCGGGGGGTTAGGGGTAAGAACCATCAATCTTACGAATGGGGCACCGGAGCGCTCCCCAGGTCATCCCATGACATTGGGTTCCAATGTCATGGGAACCCCACCCTAATTTAATTCAAATTATATTTTTCTCAATTTGTATTATACGTGAATACAATGAAATACTCTATCTATCCATAAAAGATTATCACCGTTTGACTTTTTTGGTCAAACTGTGGCACCTTTTGATAATAAATTAAATATAGCTTAAAATAATTAAATATTATAAAAAAATTGATATTTCAAAACTATATTATAAAATAAATCTAATTTTCCAAAATTTACATTATAACTAAATATACTTTTCCCTAATTTGTAGTCAAATGATGCCACAGTTTGATCAAAAAAGTTAAACTGTGACAATCATTTAGAAACGAATAAAGTAAAATTTTGAGAAAAAATTAGTAGAAATCGCCCTAAATAGGACTAAAATATAGAAAAAAGTATCTGATGGACAATAAGTCCACCAAATGATCTGATTCAGAAGAACGGATTGTAAGAAATAAAAATAAGAATGAGAACTCCAGAATGTTGTGTGTGTATTATTAGCTTGATTTAGCTTGACCCTTTTCCTTTTCGGGTCCCCTCTATTTATACATGGATTCTTGATAATTAAGGTAATTCATAATCAAAGGAGTCCAATCCCATTGATGGCGCGATCCCTTTTCTCCGACTTTATCTTCGTTCTTCAGCGGAGTCTCCTCCCCTGGACTGGCTCTGCCAGCTGTCTTGGGTTGAAGTAGACCGGGCCTCGCATTATGGGCCGGCCCATGTCCAAGTATTTTCTGTGCGCTTGACCCGGAGTCTGTTGGATGACCCATTTGAGCCGCCCGCTAGATATCGGCCTATCACAAGCCCCCCAACTCCTCATTCCTCAACTGGGCCACGCTGAGGGATGGGGAGTTTACGAGGTCCACGTGGGCGCTCCAACACGGATTTGGGCCGCTCCTCGGGTTTCGCATGATGTTTGGCACGATCTCCACTAAAAATAATCATGGCATGCTACTTCGCCTTCCTACCTCCTGTTAAAACCGCCACTGGACGCCAATCTTCCCCATTTACCTTCTCAATTGCTTCTTCGTTTGCACTTCCGCCGTTACCCGACCCGTTTTCCTTCTGCTCTAGGTCAGTTTCCTTTTTCGCCACCATGATTGTCTATGATTCTAATTCGGCTTCCCCGTCATCTAATTCTCGTCAAGCCGATCAATCGGCCTCTGCCCGTGACCCAGATCTGACCCAATCGTCTCAGCCTTCGCCGGCGGCTACACCTGGCCAAAAACGACGCCAGTTGAGGAAGCAATTTCCCCCTTTGACCCCAGCACGGGGGATCCGAGGGTTAAGCTGGATGAGAATATCATGGCGTTGTGCCATTTCCAAATCACTAACCGGGGGTTCACCAACGCCACCGACATGGTCGGACCCTCTATCGAGGTCTTAAGGCCTACTAGCACCCAGACCGCCCTGGACGCTCCCTCGGGGTTCTTCACCGTTCATCTGGCGTCTTTGAAGAAGGGGCTGGGGTTTCCTCTTCACTCGTTGTTGATTGAGTTCCTTAACGAAGTGGACCTCCTTCCTTGCCAGTTGGTCCCTAATTCTCACCGGTACATCGCCGGGTACCTGGTCAGATGCAAGGCAGTAGGGGTGAAGCCTACCCTTGACCATTTGTTGTTTACCTTTATGCTGACCAAGGGTCATGGGGATTGGGCGTCCTATGCCAGTCTTTCCCAAAGGTCCAGCAAACTGTTTACCAGCGACAAGAAGGGGTCGACCAAAGACTAGAAGCCCTTCTTTGTCTTTGTCGCGACGGGGCCCGAATCTCCTTTTACGGGTTCAGGGCTCCCATCCTTCCGTCGCGTCCCATGTCCCTCCTCCAACGCCACCCTTCTGACCATCACCCGACAACTCTGCGGCCAAGGGGCCTTCAAGATTAAAAAGGTGGTGACAGAGGAATCTCTAGAAGCACGGGGGTTTGAATTTGTCCAGGACGAGCTTCGCCACCAGCCCGACCTGCTAAGGGATGTTCCCAGGGGACATTAGCCCAACCTGCTGAGGGATGCCCCTGAAGGCATTGACTGTGGTCCTTTTGGTAATTTCCAATTCTTTTTGTCAGGGATTCCAAATGTATTTCTTTTGGGGATTAACTGTTCCATCTATTTCCAGTTGAGCCACCAGGACTAGAGGACAAGATGGACGATGAGCTTTTGCTCGGCCACTTCGTTGTGGGGAGGAAGAGGAAGAGGGACGCATCCAGGCAAAGCAAAAACAAGTGCTCTTCCTTGTGTGGAGAAGATAGTCCTCCACGTGAGCTGGTCATGGTCGAGGTGGAAGACTAGGATGACGCGGCTCTGGCGGCAGGGGCGATGGCGATCAGCTTCCCGTCGTGTTCCCTGATGCTGGGTGGCGACCAAGCCGGGTCATCCCAAAGGGCCTTCTCGGAGCGACCTCATTCCCCACCAGTAGTGACCTACGAGGTGGCGACCGAGGGTCGCTCGACGAGGTTCAACATCCCTACCCTGTCCCTAAGTCTAGGGGACATGCAATTGGAAACCCTGGTCACCTTGCCCGCACAGGATCGAGCTCGCATCTGTGCTGGTTCTGAGGACGATCTTAACAACATAGTTCTCCTGAAGCCGAGCCAGGTATTTGCCTCAACTCCCCTCTCACTCTTCCCCGTTTACATCTCTAACCTTTACGTTTTAGTATAGGCTACGCTGGGGATGATCGGGATCGTCGCCCGGAGGCAAGACCGCCAAGCTGCTATGGATGAAGCGAGGAAGGCGGCGGAAGATAAGAAGAGAGAGCTGCAGGAGGAAGTCGCTCGCCTCTAGGGAGTTAGAAGAGGAGAAAGGTCGCTTCGCCGTCCTTGAGACTAAGAACGCCTCCATATCTTCTGAATTGGGTTCCGTTCCTGCTCGCGTAACTGAGTTGGAGGTAGAGAGGAGCGACCAGGCCCGGCACATGGAGGAAGCAATCGAGTCATTGAACAAGTTCAGCGCATGGAGGAAGCGACCAGGCCCGACTGTGGCCCTCGGTGAAACTGCCGCCTATTCCACCAAACCCTTATGATGACTTCAGCGCAGCGGGTAAGGCACTTCTAGCCAACCGTCTGCCCAATGGAGGGGTTGACTGGGATGCTCCATGCCATATCCACCAATCGCATTGTATGGCTTGGGAAAGTGTGCAAGACGAGCACTTGCCTCTCTTGGAGCATGAAGGAGCATACCCCACAAGTTTGGAGCGGTGGACTAGCGAGGGTCGCACGAACTCGCCGGTGCGGCCTAATGAAAAGGTTGTGGTTAGGGAAGAACTGGGTTCTTTCCTACCACGCCCCGCTGGCTGCTCGCCCCCAGGAGGCTCCTAGGCAACCTGGAGTAGCTCGAGCTGCCTCAAGGTCTTCATCCTCATCTAAGGGATGCCGACCAGGGCTCACAGAAAAGTGAGTCGCCTCCCCTCCTTCCCTTGCAGGAGAAGGACGAGAGTTTTTTCTGCGGCTAGGGTGGCGACCATCTATTTTCCATGTTGGGAAAGAAAGGTGGTCGCTCGTAACGGCTGATGATCGGGGTTCTGTCGGCTCGCCCAGCTGCAAAACTACCCTTCAAACTGCCCTTACCCCTGTATTTTCTTCGCAGATTTTGGATTTTCCTTTTGAACATTTGTAATATGCATGGGAGGATTTTCCCTCTTGGATGTATGTAGAATGTATGGAAATTGTTCTCAATTATATTGGATATATAGATGCAAAAAGTGATTCTTGAAGTGTAATGAATGTACTTCGATGTTAACCATTCTTGGGGCCTTTTTGCTCCCATGGCATCGCCATATTTTCCACAGGTCCCCCGGTCGCTCACGCGACCATGGGATCTCGTGTTCTGGACTTAACCGTTTCTACGGCTTTTTCGCCACGGCGTTGCCCTTCTCTACTAGGCGTGTTGTCCTACCGGTCGCTCTAGCGACCGTAGATTAAACACCCTCTGATAGCCTTTGGACTTGGTTACTAGTTGGGTTCAGCACCTCATCCCCCAATGGGTATCTTAGTGCGAATCATCATATAGCTTTTGTTAGCAATCTCTTTAGTCGCTCCCTTTTTTTTGAACGATGGAAACTCAAGAAGAGAAGTGCCAAAATGCTTATTTTATTAAACTCAAAATGATACTATTGATAAAACTTGATGAGATTGGCGGCATTCCATACCCGCGGGACGTCGCCTCCCGCTGGTTTTGTAGCTTAAAGGTTCCATCGGCCAACATTTCCTTTATGATGTATGGCCCTTCAAAACTCTTGGCAGACTTCCCTTCGTCGGTCGGCCGACTGACCTCCCTTTTTCTCAGGACTCAGTCACCCGCTCTGAACTTTCTTGGTCACACCCTTTGATCATGGTATGACTTAACTTGCCGACGGTAATTCTCTGCTCGTATGTATGCCCTTTCTCTTCGCTCATCTATAAGATGTAACTCCGCCATCAGGTTTTCTTCATTCTTCTGGGCATCAAATGTTTCCACACTATAACTTAGTAACGAGGTCTTAGCTGGAGCCCTCGCTTCGAACCCATACGTGAGAGCGAACGGAGTTTCACCCGTAGCTTTCCTTGGGGTGGTCCGATAAGTCCATAGGATGTAGGGCAACTCTTCTACCCAAGCTTTTTTGCACTCCATTATTTTCTTCTTCAAGCCATCCACAATGGTGCGGTTAGTATTCTCGACCTGCCCATTGGTCTGGGGGTACCCGACCGCAGCGTAGCTTTGTTTTATGCCCCAACTCTGCAAAAACTCATTGAACCCCTTAGCTTCGAACTGGGTCCCATTATCAGTGATGATCTACTGGGGCACCCCGAAGCGGCACAAAATTTGTTTGGACACAAATTTCCTCATCCGTTCTTCGATGATGGTTGGTACTGGGGCAGCCTCTACCCACCAGGTACATGCTATTTCCCGCTCCCCTAGGTAGGATGCCGACTAGATCAATACCCCACTGAGCAGAGGGAATCTCCGTGCTGATCGGGGTATAATTCGTTGCTGGTCGCACATGTACCTTCTAAAACTCCTCGCAGACGTTGCACTTACGTACGTACTCCGCGCAATCCCTAATGATTGTAGGCCAGAAATACCCCTGCAAGGTTATCTTTCTCGGCATTGTAAAGGTTCCTTGGTACGCTGAGCATATCCCCTCATGGATTTTCTCCATCAACTTTTGTGTTTCATCCCTCCTTATACACCTCAATAATGTACCATTGTATGATCGCTTATACAACCGACCGCACTCCAGCGTGTAGCTAGGTGCACGTCGCTTAACAACTTTGGCAGCGACCGGGTCAGTAGGTAGCGACCCATCAAGGATATACATGGCTAGTTCATCAATCCAGTTCGTCTCATTGAGTGTAACGACCAAAACTTGTCCGGGACTGATGCTTGGCTCGAGCAACTCTTCTTCCTGAGTCATCGCCTTGATATGATCTGGGGAGTCTGGACCAAGCTTCGATAAGATGTCTGCCTCAGCATTTTCTTCTCGAGGGACCTGCTCTATCCGGTACGCCCCGATGCATTAAGCAACTCTAACGCGGTGTCCCTGTATTTCTTCATCCGCTCATCCTTGGCTTTAAATTCTCCCGTGACGTGGCCCACAGTCAATTTGGAATCACACCGGACCTGGATCTGCTTGGCCTTCAATGATGTTGCCAGCCTCAAACTGTAGAGTAACACCTCGTACTCAGCCTCATTGTTTGAGACCTTAAATTGGAATCTTACAGAGTGGTATGCCTTGAAACCCTCTGGTGATATCACCACAATGCCTCCCCCCGAAGCATCAGTCGCGGACGAACCATAGGTGTATATGGTCCACTAGTTTCCCTCGAGTTCTTCTCTATAGGACGCTACTTCCCTCGCGGTGCACTCTACCACAAAGTCCGCCAAGGCCTGCCCTTTGATCGCTGGTCGCGGCTTATATTCTATCTAGAAGGAACCCCAGTATACTCCCCACTTGCTAACACGCGACGGAGCGTTCAGACTCTGAAAGAGGGTTCCGATCGGAACTTGGGATAGCACGTGAACCGGGTGGGCTTGTGAACCGTGCACACCACCGCAAAGATGTTCTTTTCCATATTCGTATACTTCAGCTCTGCCCCTCGCAATACCCGGGCCACATAATACACAGGGCGCTGCGTGCCTTCCTCTTCTTTCCCAAGTACTGAGCTCACAGCCTGCGGAGAGATTCCTAAGTACAAGAACAAATTTTCTCCGGGTTCCGGCTTCGAAAGCACCAGCGGTGTGAGGAGGTACGCCTTCAACCCTTCAAAGGACCTCTGACATTTTTCGGTCCATACAAAGCCTCGGTTCTTCTTTATCGTCTGAAAAAATGGTGCCGCTCGATCAGCTATCTTCGATAAGAAGTGACTGAGAGCGGCGATCCACCTTGTGAGCTGTTGGACCTCCTTCACATTTCGCGGAGGCTCCATCTCCAAAATCGCCTTCACCTTCTCTAGATTGGGCTCGATCCCCCTTCGACTGACCATGTGCCCTAGAAACTTGCCCCCCTGAACCCCAAATGTGCACTTCTTAGAGTTGAGGTGGAGCTAGAACTTCCTCATGATTTTAAACACTCTCTCCAGATCCTAGGCATGGGACTCCATCTGCTTTGATTTGACGATCATGTTGTCCACATAGGCTTCCATGCATCCTCCTAATACCGGCGCGGACAACTTATTGACCATTCGTGCTTGGGTCGCGCCAGCATTCTTTATATCGAAGGGCATCACCTTGTAACAGTATACCTCATTGGGGGTGATGAAAGTGGTTTTCTCTTCATCTGCCATAGCTATCTTGATCTCATGATATCCACTGAATGCATCCATAAAACTCATCAGTTCACACCCTGCCGTCTCATCTACCAACTAGTCGATGTTGGGGAGAGGAAAAGGATCCATCGGGCAAGCTTTATTCAGGTCGGTGTAATCGACACACATCTGCCAGGTGTTTCCTTTGGGTGCGAGGACTACATTCGCCAACCATTCCGGGTAGCGGACTTCCTGGATATGCCCGATGGACTGCAGGGTTGCCACTTGCTTAGTGGCAAAGTCTCTTCTCTCTGAGGAAAGGAAACGCTTCTTATGTTTGACCGGATTATGGGCCGGATCTACTGTCAACCTATGACATATGATTCGTGGATCGACCCCAGGCATATCCTCTGGGCCCCAGGCAAACAACATTTTGAAAGAACGAAGGACGCTATCAGCTTCTCATTCAACCTAAGCGGTAGGGTCTTACCTATCTTCACCTTCTGCTCTGGCCTGGCTAGGTCCAAGGCGACTTCTTCCACTTCCTCCGCCGGCTCTGCCCTGGGTCACCCCTCTTCCTTCTGTATGGCGGCACAGATCGTGTTGACATTCTCATCAACACGTGCCTAGCTCTTGGTCGCCTTGACATAGCACGACCGGGACAAACTCTGATTTCCTCTAGCCACTCCTACCCCGGTCTTCACCGTGATGGTTCCTTCTGCTTCGATAGTGTCCCCTGTGAATCCTGACAACGGAGTACGGATTGGCTTTAGGTCGCTCTAGGACAACCCCAATTCCTTGAAGGTGTTGCTATACATGATGTTGACCGAGCTGCCAGTATCGACCAACATGCGGTGGACGACCACATTATTGATCTCCACCTTTATCACCAGCGCATCCATGTGGGGGCTGAGAACTGGCGGGTAATCTTCATCTGTGAAGATCAAGAGTTCCTTCTTCTTCCGTTTGGATAGCGGTGGCCTTTGCACCTCGGCCAAATGCACCATGTTTTTCCACTTCTTCCGCGAGGACACCAAGTCCCCTCCGGTATTGCCACCCATGATGAACCGACACCCCAGGTGTCAGCGGTTCTGCATCTCTTCCTCATCTAGATCGTCGCAGTCTCTTCCTAGATGTCGTCTTCCATCCTCTTTCCCATCCCCTGATGTGATCGCTGCAGCAGGGGCCGCCGGTCTCCTCCAGGTCTGGTTCCCTAACGTTGGTCGCTCCGGCCGAGGGGGCGGTCCTCTGGCGATTAGCTGGTCCATCTCCTTTTTCAACGTAACGCACTCCGATGTGTTATGGGTGCTATTACGATGGTATTCACAGTATCTGGGCGTGTCTTGGACGCCATAGCTTTCCCGACTGCGGGGAGGGCTGGCAAGGATTGTACCGTATGGACAGGCTGTCTGCTCGCCTGATAACCTGTAGGGTTTGGCCCCCTACCAAAGTCTTTCCTCTTTCTTCCCTCTGCCACCGACTGTCTGCTCTTCTTCTCTTTCCAGACAGGTGGCTCGTCATCATCTTCTTCTTCCAGTGCTAGATACTTTGCCCTGGCTAGCATTTCCTGGGAGGTCAAGAGCAGATTCCGTCGCAACTCCTTGTGCACATCCCCTTGGGGGAGTGCAGCCTGGAGCATGGCGATCAGGGCCTGGTCGTCCGCCCTTTGGACGTCCCTAGCCTCCTTCTCCCACCTATTGATAAATTCTCGGAGTTGCTCCCCCTTCCGGATTTTCACATTGAGCAGGTGTGAGAATGGGAGCTTTTGCCTTCGGCTGGACGCAAAGTGCTCCAAGAATTTGTGGGCCAGGTCGCTCCACTTGTCAATCGACCCTTTGGGCAAGTTATGGAACAATTCACAAGCTTGCCCTTCCAATGTCGCCAGGAATCACCGACACTTAATCTCTTCGGGGTACGCATACATGACCACGTTCGCCCCGAAGCGAGCGAGGTGATCTTGGGGATCGGTGGTCCCGTTGTATGCTTTGATCTGCGGGGCCTTAAAATTGTCTGGGAGAGGACAAGACATTCTCCTTCTAGAGAAGGGGGTTACCTCGCTGAAGATCGCCTATCGGTACAGGTTTTGGGCGTCCAGTCGCTTCTCCAGTTGCTCGTACATCCTCCACAACTCGACCGCTTCCTTGTCCTCGATCGCCTTTCGTCGCTTTTCCGAGCCGATCTTGGAAGTCGCTGAGGATTCTCCTCTCCTCTCCTCTCCTTGAGTGTCTCTCTTAGGTCGCCCTTGCAAGCCGCTTGTGTGTCCTGCAGCCACTCGAACGCTGAGGTTCGGGGCTTCTTTAAGTTGGGGTCCGCCAACCGATTGAAGGCTGACGCCTGCTCAAAGAGGACGATTCATCTTCCTCGTCTAGTCTGGACAGTTCGTGTAACGCCCCGAAACATACCCTAGAATTATTATTAAATAATTATTCGATTAAACAAATTTGTTTTGATTATTATTGGGCTTTGGGCTGATATGAAATATTTTTTTATATCCAATATCAAAATCAAGATAAGTCTAATTGAGATAAATCCAATATGTGGACTATTTGTGTGGTCTTGATTGAGAACCTGAGTACAGACCCAAATCAAGAATAAATAAATTAATTAATTATGATGTGAACTTTGTAATGATTTATTGAAATAAATCATGAGAATAATTGATATTAATTAAATGAGAGAACCTTTTATGACAAAGGTCAATTAAACCAATTTTGACTCTGTTAAAGTCAAACACCCAAAAATATGATGTCGGAAAAAGTATTACAAATAAATATAAAAATTATATCGTTAGATAGAGTTTAACTGCTCGATCGCAACGGTGCAAACGGAATTCAATTCGGAGAAAGTTGGACCAAAAAGTGTACCCCGACTGGAACCAAAATTGGTCCCAATCAGGGACACTGTGCGAACGGCGCCTCCTTCCCCACTACGCCGATCGCAGAGTCACCATAGTTGTTTTCTTCTTCTCTCCTTCTCATTATATAAGAAAACCCAACCTTCTCATTTCTTCACCATTCTTCTTCATTCTTCTTCCATTGTGTTCTTGAGAGTGTAAGGAATATTGTGGTGCTGCCAATTTGGTGTGAGGTCGCCGGAGTTGAGAGTAATCATCGCCGGAAGTTTCGCCGGAAAATATCCAAAACCTTCGTTAAGCTTCGAGGTAAGCCCCTAGATATATCTAA